GTCTCTTAGCTTTTCCACTCAACTACTGGCTCTCTACTACTTGAGCTACACCTCTACTTGCAGTTTTTTGGTGGCTCATTGGAAATGAGTCTTACAGACTTTCCTCCCCAGGCTGGCTTTGAACTGTGATCTTAGATCACAGCCTCCTGAGGTGCCCAGCTGAGTTACAGACTGTTTTAGAGAAATATATTGCTTACAGATAAAATGTTATTTTAAGTGTAAATTATATTGAGACAAGTGAACTAAAAACTATATTCAGATAGGAGTGTACTATATTATTTATTGCACATGGATCTTTTTCCATTGGATCTAGAAATTGGAGACAAGGTGAAAGATGTGCATACATTTGTGAACCTTTGATTTATAAAAGGGATCTACTATTTGTGTAACTTAAAAACAGAAGAAAACCATATTCTTTTTTGCTCAACCATTATACCAACTGAAATATCATAGATCCTACATTCTAGGTGCTACATGAATGCAGTTTTCTAATATCTTTACAAGATAGTACTTGAGTATTTTTAACGCTGTATAAAATGTTTGTAAAATAATTCTAGACAGTGTCTCCTTTTATATGCAGTTATTTATTATGAAGAAAAGTGAAGAAAAGTGAATTGTGGTATTTAAAAATGACAGACCTTAATTGTAAGAAAAGGTAAATAGTTACAGTTTGTGTTTTGAAAGAATGAAGTTATTTTAATTTTTTGGCCCGTCCTGAGGCTTGAAGTCTGGGCCTGGACACTGTCCCTGAGCTTCTTTGCTCAAGGCTAGCACTCTACCACTTGAGTAATAGCCCTGCTTATGGCTTTTTCTAAGTAGTTTATTGGAGATAAGAGTCTCGTGGACTTTCCTTCCTATGCTGGCTTTGCACTGCGATCCTCATATCTCAGCCTCCTGAGTAGCTAGGATTACATGCATGAGCCACCAGTGCTTGGCTTTCAGTTTTTTATTTTTTTTAACTAGCTTTTTTGTTTTGTTTTGGTGCCTATACTAGGGCTTGAACTCAGGGCTCAGGCCCTTAGCTTTTTCGCTCAAGGCTGGTGCTATACCATTTAAGCCACAGCTCTACTTCCAGATAAGAGTCACAGATTTCCTGCCCAGGCTGGCTCCAAGATGGGATCTTTAGATCTTGGCCTCCTGAGTAACTAGAATTTACAGGTGTGAACCAGTCCTTTACCTAGCTCTTAATTTACAAATGGAAGCTAAGTGATGGAAATATGTTTTTGATATTAAATGTTACCAATAAAGTATTTTATTACCAAAAGTGAAATTAACATGTAAATTAATTTCTTCCTATTGTGAAATATCAGTACAAACCAAGTATATGCTATTTTAATTGTGAACTTTGAAGAAGACTCAATAGCAGTGTGCTAGCACCCAGCGTAAGATCCTTGCCAGTTGCTGGTCCTGTGTTCTTACTCTATAAGTTACCATCTGATTTTCATGAGAATTTTTCACTTGGCTTGCTTGTCCTATGTATCTCTACCCAATATACTGTTTATTTTGCCTGTTCCTGAATTTATATATTTCATCAGTCTCTAACTCTCACTGGGCATGATCTTTGCAGTTCATGCATGTTGATCTCAAAGTTGATTTCCTTTTTATGACTAAATAGTATTCCAGTATATGAATGCACAACATTTCTTCTGTGTCACTGATAAATATTTGTGTTGTTTCCAGTTTTTTTAAACCCATTGTTGGTAGCCATTTGGGTTGCTTATAGTTTTATATTGTTTTACTGTTGACTTTTGCTATTTCAGGGAGACTTCATGAATGTCACTATACATGTCTCTTTTAGAAGCAGGCCAGAATTTCTATAGGAGTTACAATACACGTACATGTACATGTTCAAATCACTTTCCAGGGTGCTTTTCGGCACTGGGTGGAGTTGACCCTGCATTCTTGGCAGTATTGTGTTTTCTTTAACCATCTCTGTGCCTGTGGAATTCACAGAGAAGTGGATCCATGCTGACAGGACTCCAGGTGTTCATGTGAGAAGGACATCCTGTGTCCCAGGAGCTGCACCTCTGCCACTCCACCATCACCTGTTCCTCAGGTAGAGAAGAGTATGATTCCCATTTCAGCCTTGAGAAATCTGAGGCTTAGAAGAGGTAAATAGCCAGGCACAGGTAGCACGCCTGTAATCCTATTTAGGAAGCTGAGACCTAAGGGTCGCAATTCAAAGCCAGCTCAGGCAGAAAAGTCTGTGAGACTCTTATCTCCAATTAGCCAGCAAAAAAGCCACAGTGGAACTGAAGCTTATGTAGTAGTGTGCCAGCATTGAGCAAAAAAGCCAAGTGAGAGTGCAAGACCCTGGGTTCAAGCCCCAGTACTGGCACCAACATAAAACAAGCATTTACTTACCCTCAGCTTGGGCATCCACGCAGGTGACTCGGTGTGCTCCACAGACAATCTCAGCACTTGTCAGTCCAGTCACCCCACTCTCCCTGGGAGCCAGAGCAGCAAGGAACCAGCCCACAGTCCAGCCCTGTCCACGGCCACAGCTGACCGCACCCAGCTAGACATTCTGCTTCTTGGCACACAGCCACCATTTGAGCACTCAGTACCCAGACGTGGTTACAGCAAATGTGCTGGGCCAGCCCTGGTGCAGAACATTCTGTCATAGCTGACAGCTTTCTTTGGGGCAGAGGTGGTCACATGGGAATGTCAAGACACTGAAGACATGAAGTGCTAGGCATGTGGCTCACACCTGTAATTACATCTACTCAGGAGAATCATGAATTTAAGGCTAGCCTGGACAAAATTAGCAATACCCTGTCTCTAAAACAAAGTGGGGGCTGGGGGCGACTAGAAGAATAACTCAAGTAAGTGGTAGAGCATCAGCTTTGAGTAACTTGTGTGACATATGAGGCTCTGGATTCAATCCCCAGTGTTACCAAAAGAATGAGCCAAGTGCCATTGGCTCATTAATGTAACCCTAGATACTCAGGAGGCTGAGATTTAAGAACCAAGATTCAAAGCCAACCCAGGGCAAGAAAGTCAGTTAACCAGCGAAAAACCTGGAAGTGGATCTGTGGCTCAACTGGTAGAGCACCAGCTTTCACTAGAAAAAGCTCAATGACAGCACCCAGGCCCTGACTTCAAGTCTCAGCCCCATCCCAAGGGGAGAAAAAAAGGATCACCAGCACCAAGCAGGCAGAGGAGAAGAGCAACATGGTCTTTTATTGATGCAAATACATCCAGTCACTCCAGAACTGACACCCTGCACAACAGCACAGCTTTACACTCAGAGATCATCTCCAGGTCCCAGAACAGAACCTGGGGATGCAGCAAGGTAGGAGAGGAAAGTAACACACAGACAACTGCCATAGGTACTAGAACTGTGACCCACGAGGCGCACATGGACTATAGGCTCTTTGTTTTTTTTTAACACAACGTACAGAAAATGGTCTCACATTGTATTCCAAATATATATTCTCAAGTTTGTAGCCTTTTTTAATCTCCGAGACATAAAGCAATATATTTATATATACTATCAATATACAATCCGCACTAGTTAGTATATCTGCAAAGTGCCAGCCCACTGTGACAATACAGTGTTAACTATTCAGTTCCCCAGGCTGAGGGTGACCCGGCCCTCCTCTCCCTCCTGAGGCCTGGCCCCTCCCACCCAGGCTTTTCCTGGGTATTCTGGGAATTGGAACACTGACCAGGCCTCACAGTTCAGGAGGTCCTGACTGATGGCGCCCATCCAAAGCCAGGCCCGGGGACAGGGATGGGGTCAGGAATCCCTGGAAGGGAGACAGCAAGGACACTGGCTTTCTGAAATCAAGGGCCATCCTTGTCCAGGGAAGGTCCGGGGTTCACAGCAGACATGGGAAATGGAGTGTATTCCTGTTGAGTTGTGGAGAAAACCCAGTGGGGGCAGTTTCATCCAAAAGGGTTCCAGCAGTGCCAGCCTGGCTGAATCCAAGGTGACCCCCAGTAGAGGGAGAAGAGGGCTGTCTCCTCAACACGTGGCTTCACCTCCCCACCCCCTTTCCTGAGCACACAGTTTCCAGCCCAGTTCAGCATCCCACCCCCATCTCCAGCTGGGTTCAGAAAACTCCAGTGCCACAATGCCCCAGAGTCATCTTCCATGTCTCTTGTTTGAAGAATAATTTGCCAAAGGTACCCTCTCACAGAAAAAGAATGCTCCCAGGCCTTCTCCCGCCCCTCCCAGACCCCAGAAATCCCTGATAAAGGAAAATGAAAATGTAAACTTTGATAAGCCCCATACCCAAAAGTCCCCTTCCAGATATGTACACACGAGGCTCCCCTGGCTGCTCAGCCCTTCCTGTGGAAACCTGGCAACCCAGACTGTAAACAGTAGGCGCCTTGTGCCCCGGGCAGAGCAGGAAGGCCGGACCCCCAGTACCTTCTAAGGCACTAACCCCGACATCGCAGACACTGGCTGGAAAGGCGTCCGAGCAGGCAGGGCTTATGTTGGTTTTGGTTGGTTAATTTTTTTAAATATTTTTCATAAGATGTTAATAATCAAAAGTAGAAAATAAAAATCTACATTTCATTAGAATAAGATGTCATCATGGATATCATCTCCCATGACAATCTTTCTCCCACCCCTTCCCCAAAGCAGGGCCCCGCCCTGGTATTTAAAATAAATTAACAACAACAACAAAAAAAGCTCTTGTTAAGTGCCAAAGGTGGATGCATGAAATAATTACCATTTTTCTTCTTCAGAAAAGTTATATACAAAATAGACCCCAACCGGTGAGGTCTCTTCATCTCAATCCAGTTCAGTCAAGATGCACATTCAGCCGGGTGCCATGGCTCACAGCTGTAATCCTGGCCACGCAGGAAGCTGAGATCTGAGGATCCCAATTGGAAGCCAGCCCTGGGCAGACAAATCTGAACTCTTATCTCCAATGAACCAGCAAAAAGCTGGAGTGGAGGTGTGGCTCGTGTTAGAGTGCCAGCCTTGAGTGACAAAGCTAAGGGAGCATGCCAGGCCCTGAGTTCAAGCCCCAGTACCAGCACAAAAACAAAACAAAAAAAGATGCAAACTCAGCTGCTTCATCCGGCATCTGCAGCCTTTATCCTCAGGCTCTGTTAAGGAGAGTGGTCCTAGGGGTGGACAAGGCTGAGGTCAGCTCCCCTGAGGCCCTGACCTGTGAGTGGAGGGCTACGAAAATGCCCCACCTCCCATTGGCTCAGATGCCCAGTCAGAAGATCCAGCACACCCCCTCAGCCTGATATCCCTCCCCAGGCTCAGGGTCCATGGTGTCCGCTGCCTACCTGAGGGCCTTCCAGTTGTCCTTCTCCATGTGGTTCTCAGGACCTTCACTCTCAAAGGAGGCCACGAATAGAGCTGAGGAACAGATAAGGCCTGAGAACATGCTACCATGGGCCAACAGCACTTGCACAATCCTTCCAACCGATTGGCCAGGCGGAGGCACCAGTACCTACCCCCAGCCTCTACATAACATACAGGATTACAGAAGGTCCCCAGGCTGCCAGCCAGGGGACTCAGCAGATCCTTTGTCTCGTGTGTGTGTGTGTGTGTGTGTGTGTGTGTGTGTGTGTGTGTGTGTGTGTGTGTGTGTGTGTGTGTGTGTGTGTGTGTGTGTATCCTAGTATCCTAGGGCTTGAACTCGGGGGCCTGGGCACTGACCCTGAGCTTTTGTGCTAAAGGCCAAGTGTGTGTGTGTGTGTGTGTGTGTGTGTGTGTGTGTGTATCCTAGGGCTTGAACTCGGGGGCCTGGGCACTGACCCTGAGCTTTTGTGCTAAAGGCCAATACTCATCACTTGAACTACCCCTCTGCTTCCAGCTTTTTGGTGGTTAGTTGGAGGAGAGTCTCATGGACTTTCCTACTCAGGCTGGCTTTGAATTGTGATCTTCATATCTCAGCCTCCTGAATAGCTAGGATTTCAGGCATGAGCCAATATGCCTAGCTTGTCTTTTTGTCTTTTCACATCATCAATCAACCCCACCTTAAGCACATTGTGTGGACTAAGGAGTCTGGGGAAAGGGGGTGGGTGGGAGGGGGGAGGTTGGGGATAACAATCACATCACTCCCAGAGCAGCCCTGAGCAAGTGAAGACCCTCACCTTCCTCGCTGTAGATGGGTGCCGAGAGCAGGTAACTCTGAATCTTCTTGTCCTTCTCAAAGGGACACTCCACCTGCGTCCATGTCATGAACTCATGGATCTGTCTGGAGATCTCCCAGAATTTCTGAAAGAAGACCAGTGAGATAGTGTCACTTGACATCCGGACCTTTAAAGCTACCACTGGACCGGGTGCCGGTGGCTCACGCCTGTTATCTCAGAAGGCTGAGATGTAAGGATCACAGTTCAAAGCCAGCCTGGACAGGAAAGTCCATGAGACTCATCTCCAGGTAACCACTAAAAAAGCCATCGATGGAGCTATGTGGCTCAAGTGTTAGAGTGCTAACCTTGAGCACAAAAGCTCAAGGGTAGTACCCAGACCCTGAGTTCAAGCATCAGGATTGGCGTGCGCGCGCGCGCACACACACACACACACATTGGGGAGAGGACAGAGTGCTATGAGGAGGATGGGGACACTGGCCATAGTGGCTTGTGCAGCAGGTGTTCCCTGAGGCCCCCTGGTCCTGCCTCTGCCCAAGTCATCAGGCTGAAGCTAAGCAGTGCCCCCCTGTGGCCTGTGCTGTAGCCTGGGCCGGTATCCAGCGGCACCCAGTGGTATTACCAGAACAAGCATGGTCTCACTCCTTGGGCCTGAGCAGCCACACCAGCCCCTTCCCTCTGTGAGCTGGTACACCTGACCATCACCTCTGCCCTCCTGTCCTTGTCCAGGCTTCCTGGCCACCAGGCAGGTTCTTTGTTTCTAAATAGAAATTCTAGGTGAGATCCCAACTAGAATTCTCCAGAATTCTAGATGAAAATTCAAGCCGGCTAGAATTCTCTAGAATTTCTATTTAGAATTACCACTCCCTGGTCACTGCCCATGTCTCTTCATGCTTAAAGCCCTCCAGCAGCCCCTTCTCTGTCTCCATAGTGGGGTTAGCACTAGAACTAGCATTGTGGGAATAAGCTTTGTGACCAGGTTCTCTTCCCCCCTACCCCTGCACCCAACCTGGGTACATCCAGATCTACAAGCCCTTTCTAAGATGAGTCTTGGCTATCTGTGGTGGAGGCACATACATTCGCTATCTGTCCATGCCAGGCCAGGAGCCCAAGTAGCTAAGCTCACCTTGAAGTTTATGTGCCCATTGGGCAGATGGTTGGTGTGGATTTTGTGCAGAAAGTAGATATCCTTGACAAAGAGGTTGAACACAGGGATGACGATCTTCTCTCGGCTGCTGTTGGCCATCTGAGATCTCTGCGTCGCCCCCTGCAGGGCTGTGCGGTAGTTGCAGAAGTTGCTAGATGGGTCCATGTGGTGCTAAGGGAATAGGGAGCAAATGGTGAACACGTGATCCCCACACACTCTGTGGAGAGCCAGGCAGGGTGGAGAATGTGTTATCAGCAGGTGGCCCAGTTCTGAGGGGAGGAGACGCCCCCCCAGGAGGAAGGTGCCTGAGGAGCCCTGGGGCCTCAGAAAAACTAAAGCATCCCAAAGCCAGGCAGGCCCCAGGCTCTTGTAATCCTAGCTGAAATCTGAAGATCAAAGACCAAAGATCAAAGCCAGCCTGAGCAAGAAAGTCTGTGAGACCCTAATCTCCATTTAACTTCCAAAGGTAGCTAGAAGGGGAGCTGTGGTTTAAGTGGAAGAGTGCTAGCCTTGAGCAAAAAAGCTCAGGGATAGCACCCAGGCCCTGAGTTCAAGCCTGAGGATGGGCATGAGAGAAAGAGAGAGAGAGAGTGCACAAGAGCATCCTAGCATTGCTGTGCCTGGTGTCCCCTCCTTCAAAATCTGCATAGACGACACCTCCCAGCTGACTCAACAAGACTCAAATGACTTGAAAAGGAAAGGAAGGAAGGAGAAAGAGGAAAGAGAGAAAGAAAGCTGGGCACTGGAGGCTCATGCCCGTAATCTTAACTACTCAGCAAGTTGAGATCTGAGGATCCTGGTTTGAAGCCTGCCTGGGCAGGAAAGTCCATGAGACTTATCTCCAATGAACTACCAAAAGCCTGGAAGCAGAGCTGTGGCTCAAGTAATAGAGTACCAGCCTTGAGCAAAAAAGCCAAGTAAAAGCATGAGGCCTGAGTTCAAGTCCCAGTCCCAGCAGCACAAATGAACAAAAGCAGAAGCATCCATGTCAGATGTGTCTGGGCAGGCCCTCTGCGTCCTGTCTGCAGCCTCCAGAGACCTCAGAGCAGAATTTGCCTAAGGATGAGGCCAACCAACCATTCTAGGCCAGCAGCATTTTATTCCAAGCTTATTAGCTGCTTTTGGCAACTTGCTTCAGGTTGATGCTGCTTTACCTAAACCAGGGAGGCCAAGGGGAGTGCCAGAACCCCCCCCCCACAGCTGGGGTGCCAGGAGCATGTGCCCACCCTTGCTGCTGGCACTTTCTGCCCACCCAGGATGAAAGGTGCTCCGGCGCCATGTACCTCTAAGACATCGAACTTGGCCGTCTTGACTTTGGACCATGTTTTCTTCAGCCGTGCCACTGGACTGAGGTTCATGCCAGCTGCAGGGACAGTGGGCAGGGGTCAGGGCACAGGGAGGCATGGGTATGAGCAGCCCACCTGTGCCCAGATACTCACAGATGATTGCCATCATGGAGTTGAAATTGCCAATGTTGAAGCATTCCCGGGCCACATCAATGAAGAACTCCAGCATACGGGTGCGATGCTTCTTCTTTACCACCTGGGGGGAGGGGGGCATAGCTTCATCATGGAGCCACCAAGGGGCCACAGGGGCCAAGATCGTGGGACAGCAGGACAGGGAGGACCTTAGGGATTTGCTTCTAGGCCTGGGAGATCTGAGGCCGATCTGAGACTGTGCAAGGCCCAGACAGCCACCCCACTGCTGACATCTCCTTGGCCACAAAAGGGGACCGTGGGGAACCGGCAAGATCCACGCAGGCTGGCAGGACAGTGCTGGGCATGGGAGGACCCTCTTGGGAAAAGGTCTCTGTGGTCATTAACAAATCATTAGCTGATGCTGCTGGCTCGGGCTTGTAACCTAAGCTACTCAGGAAGCTGAATGAGGCTAGGCTGGAGCAGGAAAGACCAGGAGACTCATCTCCAGTGAACCACCATAGAAGTGGTAAAAGCACTAGCCTTGAGCAAAGGGGCTAAGGGAGAGTGCCCAAGCCTTGAGTTCAAGGCTGAGTATTGGCTCAAAGAAAAAAGGAAAAAAGGAAGTAGGAAGGAAAGAGGAAAGGAGAGAGGAAGGAAGACGGAAGGAAGGAGGGAAGCCGAGGGGAGGAGGGAGGAGATAAGTCACTGCACTGGGATTTTGGACAGGGTCACTTGAATTTTCTTTTAGTCTCCTCTCTGGCTCCAGGCAGGTAGAGCAGGAGTTTAAGTCTCAAGGAAGGAAGCACACACACACACACACACACACACACACACACGCACACACACACACACACACACACCAGTTCTGCCCCTGGATGGGCTTACCCGGCACACCTCTGTGGCCACCAGCATGCTCAGACAGTTGAACCAGTTGTCATAGGCCTCCAGGCTGTAGGTCTTGGTCATGTCCCCTCGGCACTTGGTGGGGGGGGGAGGACAGAGTCACACGAGTGCAGGGAACCCTGGCTGGAGGTCAGCTCCTGTGGCTGAGCCTGCCCACAGCAGCCTGGCTCACACCTGCCTGTTCCTAGGTCATCCAATGCAAGGCTAAGCCAGGGCCTTGCCACCCCCTACCCAGCATGCACTGCACCTCCAAGCAGGCCCAGGAGGGTCAGAACACATCCATCTGGAGCCATGACCAATTCACTGGGGGCTCTCAGGGCATCTGTGTGAGGCTTGCACCCACCCTGCAAACGATGTGAGTGCCAGGCTCCGACACCAGTCACTCCTGGGGAAAATGCCACTGCATGCCATGGGGCTCAGATCACTCACCCTGTGGTTATCCAGAGAGTCCATGTGGCTTATGATCTGCATCAGGTCCTCGGGGTAAATGCTGCTGACCCTCTCCTGTGATGGGAGATGGCCAAGAGGGGATAGAACTTCAGGGGCACATGGCCAGAGCCTGGGATCAGTGAGCCCGTCCAGGATATGGGCTCATCCTGGGGCTACAGCAGGACAGCAGGCCCCCCCCCAGCCCATTATACAGGCTGCCATGTACTTGTAGACCCATCACCCAGCACAGAGACACCTGTTGCACTGATGGTCACACTGTGGCCTGAGACACAGTGGCCAGAGCGTTGGCAAGCCATCTCTGCCATCCTCTGGCAGCCATTGCACAGGCTGGATGGGTCTCTGCCAATCTAGGCGTGGGACACCGGTCCTGAAGTCTTGGCTAGAAAGCCGGGAAATGCCACCCTCCCTTGGACCCAGTGCAGAGCCCTGGGCAGCACTGACCAGTTCGATGTGAGTCAACTGTTGGGCCAGCACTAGCGGGTCACAACACACTCCCAGGATGTCCTTCTGGACAGCTGGTGGCTTGGCTTTCAGGATGGGCCCTTTGTCCATGGTTGGTGGCCGGAGCTTCTCCCGAAGTTCCTGTAACTGGTTCCGGGCAGCCAGGGACAGCAGCAGGCTCTGTATCATCTGCGTGATCGCCTTCTTCACTGTGCCATTCTCCTGCAAGTTGGGGGCAAGGAAGGGGCTGCTATGGTCGGCAGGTTCACCAACTCCATGGCGATGGCCTGGCCACCAGATGCAGGCTTCAGGCTCACATCCCTCATCCATTCCTGCCTCCAGTCTTGGGATTTCAACGGGAGTGGAGGATGGCACTGGCTTCCTGGGGGCTGTTAGGAAGGGCAGGCCTGGGGCTGCCCCACTGGGAATGGAGACTGAGGTGTGTGTCTCCCAGGTGAGAGAAACAAACTGCCTCTCACTGCCTCCCTCAAGCAGAAGTGCCACACTGGATGAACAGAGGCTCCTCCCCTGGATGGGAGGGAGCCTGGGCTCAGTGGTCCCAAGTAGGAACAGGACCTGACCATCATAGAAGCTCTCAGACTTGCCTGAGGAGAGGGGCCTCAAAAGCCTTTGGGTTTCCTGTCTCTAATGAAGGCCTGAATGAGGCCAAGAGCTGCAGGAGCTGGGTTGCTGATGGCTCACACCTGAGATTTAAGGATCACAGTTCACAGCCAGCCCAGGCTGTCCGTGAGACCCTTATCTCCAACTAACCACCACCAAAAAGCTGGAAGTGGAGCTGTGGCCAAGTGGTAGTGCCCTAGTGGTGAGCACAAAAGCTCAGCAACAAGGCCCAGGCCCTGAGTTCCAGCCCCAGGGCCAACACACACACACACACACACACACACACTAGCTGCAGGAGCAGTTAGGCCCTCTGCTTGGGCCCCCACTCCAGGCACTAGAGTGCCAGGGGCCAGGGCAGGATCACAGCAATGACCTCCACAGATAGGATATCCTGTAGACTTCACCTTCTTGAGGGCAGATACCCTTCCCTCCCTCCACACACATGCACATGCGTGCACACACACAGTGGTCCAGCCTGGGGCTGAGGGAGGTGTCACCTCATCGCACTGGGTGACGCGGTGAGTGATGGCCTTCAGCTCGGCCATGGCCTTGTCATCCTGGAAGTCATAGGGAAAGGCCTCTGTCCACTCCTTCAGGAGTTGCACGATCTTGGCGGAGAAAGACTTGAGCTTGGCCTGGAACCGCAAAGCGAGTGAGATGCCACAGGTCAGAGAGAACCACAAGGCAGCCAATGGCCCAAGCACCCTTCTCCCTCAGAACTGGCACCCCACCTCCAGGCTCCTCCTGGGCCTGTGTCTCTTGTGTGCCTCGGGCTCGGCCACACCTGAGCCCCCTGTGAGACTGTTCCCTTAAATCAGCTTTTTTGTCACTTAAATTCATTTTCAATAATAACAATAGTAATAATGGAGCTGGGCACTGGTGGCTCACACCTGTAATCCCAGCTACTCAGGAGACTTGAGATCTGAGAATCTTGTTAGAAGCCAGACCAGGCAGACAAGTCTAAGAGACTCCTAGCACCAATTAACTACCAAAAAAGACAGTAGTGCAGGTGTGGCTCAAGTGGTAGAGTGACAGCCTTGAGCAAAAAGAGCCAAGTGAGAATGAGGCCCTGGGTTTGAGCCCCAGTTCCAGCACAAGATAATAATAATAATAATAATAATAATAATAATAATAATAATAATAATAATAATAAAGTTAGCTATAGAAAACTAATTTCACTTTCTATAATTAGATATTTCCCATCAAAAGCGTGTAGTGAAAACCAAGCAGAATTGGATTAAATGAAAGACTCATTAATGTTCTTGGTTAAAAGCAGGTTGGCCAGTGCTAGGAGGGGCTGTGGCATTCAGGGGAAGGCAGGGCCACTCTGTGTCCAGGAAGCCTGGGTCTGCCTGTCAATACCACCCACCTGGACATAGGGCCCTCTAGGATAGAGGATCATAGGTGTGCGGCAAGGCTGCACGCTCTTCTCAGCATGCCTGCCTGCATAGTCTCCGCTCTAGGGAGGGGAGAGGAGAGGTACAGGATTCCTGGCTTTAGCCGCACCATCCACTGGTCTACCTACCCAGGCCAAAAGCCCATCTGGTCTACCACAGCTCTCTTCAAGGCCTGATGAGTTCCTTCCCATACTGGTCACTCCCCAGGCCCTGCCTGTCCTCAGGACCCACTGCTCTGCCAACTCAGGCTCCCCACAGATGTTCATGTCACCTGGGAAACCAACCCCTCTGACGCTGCAGCTGATTGGAACTTGGGTCACACCCCCTGGTGCCAACTGCTTTGACGGCACCCACCACCTGTTTTTTGTAACAGAACCTGAACTTGTGAGAGCCAGGACCCTCCCCCCCCACACACACACACCTGCCCCAAGGCCTCAGGGGAGATAGCCCTGACCCTGACTCAACCCAAACAATATTAAACAATCTGTGCCAGGCCCGTATCTCACACCTGTAATCTAGCTCCTCAGGAGGCTAAGCCATGAGGATCCCGGTTCAAAGCCAGCCTGGATAGGAAATTCCCTGAGAAGATTCTTATTTCCAATGAACCACCAAAAAGCCAGAAGTGGAACTCTGGCAGCCTTGAGTAAAAAAGCTAAAGCAAGACCCTGAGGCCCTGTGTTTAAGCCCTAGTACCAGCACGAAACAAAACAAAAACCTCTCCCTATTCGGATGCTGAGATTTGGATATGAGCTATTCTCCCATGGGCCTGTGTTTTCAGTGTTTGGGGTCCCCAGCTTGGAAGTTGCTAGAAACTTTAGCTGGTGGGACCTAGCTAGAGGAATGGGTCCTGGGGGTGTGCCCTTGGGAATGCCTTGTCCCTCACTCCTCTCGTCTCTCTTGCTCCCCACTTCCGGTCCACCATGAGCTGAGGATGCTTGTTCCCTCACATGCTCTGGCCACCATGATGCTCTGCCCACCCCTTTGGGGTCAATGGATGGAACCCTCTATATCTGTGAGCCAACGCAAATGTAAATCTGTCCTCCTGTCAGCCATCCTCCCAGGGACCTGGTGACAGGGTAGGCCCAGTGACTCACACATGAGGCCTCTGCGGGGAGCAGGCCACCTGACACCCACCTGGGAAGTGACAGCGGCTCAGCCCTGCAAGGGAACACTTACCCCAAGCTGCTGAGTCCTGCCCTGGGCAGACCATTGCTTCCAGCACTCGGGGGAGGGGGGATGTGCTTAGCACTGGTAGCCCCACTTCAGGCTCAAGAGACTTTCCCCAAGGCACACCAGGCGGGAGCCAGGCTGCCACGCCCCTTCCTGGGCCACTAGGCTGGGCCCTGTGTCTCTCTCCAGGCATGAATGACAGAGCTGGGTGTGAGCAATGTCCTCGCCGTGTCCTACCTTCTCAGGCCCAGCCTCCAGCTGCTGCCTCTGCTCCAGGCAGATCTGTCCCACCCGGGCCAGCAGGTCCCGGGGAGGCGTGAAGACCCTGGAGCTCAGGAGAAACGTGAAGATGTATGTCCTCTGAAGAAGGGAAAGCAGAAAGCCTGGTCAGGCGCAGCTGGCAGCACTGCTGCAGGATCCCATCGCTCTCCTTGGCTCTGCCCAGCGCCCACTGCGGGACAGGTGAGGTGCAACCACTCCTTCCTCACTGCCAGCTTTCCTCTCTCTGCACCCCTGGCTTCTCCTCTGTGACCACAGCCTGTGCTGAAGACAGCTCTGCTGGGCTTCTTCTGCTCCCTGGCCCCAGTCATGACAGAGGCTCCAGGGTCTGTTGCCTAGCCCAAGGTGCCCCCTGGTCAGCAAAGGCCAGGCCTGGTCAGCAAGAGCAGGGCCTGGTCAGCAGGGGCTTGGTCTGGTCAGTAGGAGTGGGGTCTGCTCAGCCTGGGTGTGGTCTGACCAGTAGGGGCGGAGCCTGGTCTTCATGGGTGTGGCCTTGCCAGTGGGGGTGGGGTCTGGCCAGCATGGGCAGGATCTAGTCAGCAGGACCCTTTCCAGCCAAGACCTGGCTTTCAGGAACTGATGTGGGCTCCTTCCTGGCCCATTTCTGACTGACTGTGGGCCCTGACCTCCCAGGCCCATCCCAGGGTCCTGTATTCCACATCCAGCAAGCATGTGAGCTGAGATCCTCATGGACTGGAGGACAGAAGGGACATAGCTCTGGCCAAGGTTCCGCCACAGAGTCAGTTCCTGGGGAATCTTCACAGACTCCAGCTTGGGGTCAAGATGGACTTTGTGATGAGGAAGATCACCTGGGACTCTCGGGAGATACCCTGCCCCCCTCAAACCTCAGTCTGACCCCATCCCATGGAGCTGCTGCAGGCCCAAGCCCCATCACCCCAGTCCCAGACCACAGGGCTGGGATGTCCTTCGCACCCACAGCCCTCCACTGTGTGAACAAAGCAAGGCTGCTTGGAGGCCAGCCCTCCCTGGGGCAATGGGGACCCTGCTGTCCCACGGATTTCACATGACCTATCCCAGATTGTTGAGGATCCCAGCAAACAGGTGGGAGTTTGGGGGTCTCCTTTAAAACTGTGGGTGAGGAAAGATGTTGGGGCTCTGAGGCAAGGCAGAGGCACCCCAGAAAGAATCCAGATGGGGTGCAGCCCTGCCCACAGGAGGGAGTAGAGAGAGGATCAGAGGAGCAACTGCCCAGCCCTCGCCCTGGCCCCACTTCCTGCCCTGCATTTAATTCTTGCTAAGAATTAGCAAGTGCTTAGCTAAGTGCTGGCAGGCATGCCCGTGATCCTAGCTAACTCAGGAGCGTGAGAGCTGAGGATCCCAGTTCAAAGCCAGTCTGGGCAGAAAAATCTGTGAGCCTGTCATCTCCAATTAACCAGCAAATAGCCAGAAGTGTAGCTGTGGCTCAAGTGGCAGTCTCATCCCTGAGCAAAAAAGCTACAGGAAAGCACGCTAGCCCTGAGTTCAAGTCCCAGCACTGGCACAAAAATACATAAAATTTAAAAAGGAAAAAATAAGGAAGTCTCTTTTTGCTGTAGCATAGGACCACTGCCCCACAGCCTGACCAGGGATGGGGGGTGGGAGACACAGTTCTGCCATGAACATCTTTGTGGGCTGTAAGATCTCCCCTCCAGAGTCTGCCTCCGGGCTCTCAGCAGCTGTGTCTGCATGACCAGTACCAAGACAGGGCTCTGATCAGAGTTACAGGATGGACAAAAGGATGGCAGGTGAGTAAAACAAGTTGCAGAGAGCAAAAGTGGCCACCAGGTGGCGAAGCTGAGCCCAGCACCACAATTAGAAAGCTGAAGGGTCGTGACTCTTGATTCCTCGTGTGTGTGTGTGTGTGTGTGTGTGTGTGTGTGTGTGAGAGAGAGAGAGAGAGAGAGAGAGAGAGAGAGAGAGAGAGAGAGAGAGAGAGTCACAGACAGAGACAGAGACAGAGACAAAAACAGAGTTGGTCCTGGGACTTGAACTCAGAGCCTGGGTGCTATCCCTTAGCTTTTTTACTTAAAGCTGAAACTCCACCAGTAGAGCCACAGCTCCATTTCTAGATTTTTGGTGATTCATTAGAGATAAAAATTTCACAGACTTTCCTGCTTGATCTGGACTTGAACTATGATCCTCGGATCCCAGGCTCCTGAGTAGCTAAGATTACAGGTGTGAGCCACTGCACCCAGCATGGTAATTCTTGTCCAACTCCTCCATGCTGCATGTAAGGCTATGCCAGGGCCACCACGCAACTCTGCCTCCAGGAGGGGGCAGGCAGCACGAGCAGCCAGGGTCAGGCCTCCCGGAGAACCTCCTTTCAGGACCCTGCTCTTCATGGGCAGGGGGAAAGCTCATGTGACAAGGGACCGCCTCCTCTGTTTCCAGAATGGCAGATGTCATACTGAGGTGAAGCAAGAAACGGGGTTGCTGGAGAGCAGTGCAGCCAGTGCTCCAAGCTCCAGGGTCTGCAGGGATTTTGAACTCAAAACCAGCTTCTCCACTCAGGGACGGCTCTAGGAAGTGGGCTGGGCAGCCATGGTGAGTTCCCCTGCCGGGGCATGCCTACTACTCTGTTCTAGCCTGCCCTCCCTCCAGAAGATACTTCCCTGTCGCCTCCTCCCTGACCCAGGCACTCACGTCCGGGTAATAGTCCACCGTGGGGACCAGATGCTCCATCAAAGCCTCCAGGGACCCAGAGATGAGACGTCCATCTTGGAAGATGAGGTCCCCAGGACCGCTGGCCCCACCTCCTCTTTCCCCCATGCTGGGGTTCGCCTGTCCACTACAGCTGGGCCCAAGGATGCTGGAGAAGACCACAGACGTCTGGGGCATCGTTTCCTGGAGAGAAGAACGAAAGTGTGAGGTATCAAAGTGCCCCCAACTCTGTGGCTTATCCCCCAGAGGCTCCTGCAAAAGCCCACAACACCTAAGGGCAGGTGAGTGGCTGCCCTCTGAGTCCTCCCATGGTCTGTGTCTGAACAATGCTCCTTCAACATGCTCCATGAATGTCAGGCCTCACTCTAGAGGCTTGGACACAATTGGCCTCCTGAGGTGACATCTCGGGAACACATGAGGAGCAAGTACAGGAAGCCTGTGGTCAAGGCGGCTTGGCTATCACTGGCCATGCCATTGGGCATTGGTGCTCACGCCTGTAATCCTAGCTACTCAGGTGGCTGAGATCTGAGGATCACAGTTTGATGCCAGCCTGGGCTGACAAACCCGAGAGATTTGTCTTTCCAATTAACTAGAAAAAATGACAGAAGTGGAGGTGTGACTCAAGTAGCAGAGAAGCCAAACAAGAGCACAAGGCCCTGAGTTCAAGCCCCAGAACAGGCATAAAGAAGTGGGGAGTGGGGGTGGGGAGAAAGGAAAGAAAGAAGGAAAAGAAAAGGGAAAAGAAAAGAAAAAATAAATAAAGGAACATCCTAAGACAGCAAAGATGCAAAGGTCCTGAGGACAGTATGTATATATATGAAAGGAGTAAGCTGGTACCATGGCCAGAGGATTGTCAACCGTGCATGTCCTGGGCTAGGGTGGTCTGTGTTGTTGCTGCTGCTTCTAAGTGAGGAGAAATAGGACTCCAAGCCGAGATACTGAGGGAGCCTGCTAAGGAAGTATTTGGAAGCTGCCTAGCTGTTTTTGCAAAACTCAGGGAAAGCCTGTGAGATCAGGTGGGAGCAGAGGGGCACGGGGTAAACCCTGGACACTGTCAGGCTGTCTTGGGTCTGTTTGGGCCTCGGCACCAGGCAGAGCAAGATGACAAGGTGTGGGGAAAGATCTGGAACTTGGTCTTGGCTGCATGGAATCTAAGGTGGGTAGGGGAGCATCCTGGGGGTCTTGGTGTCCTGGAGCTCTCCACCATGGCCTGGCCCACCGGGGCCTGCAGGGTGACCACCTCACACTGCAGAGAGTCTGAAGACCTCTGGCCACAATTATACCCAACGCCCAAAGCAGTGGACCTGCCTGCCTGGGGGCTGCCTGGACCATGTTCCTAGTCCTGCCACAAGGGGGCGCACTGAGCCTCTGAAGTTTATGCCTGGGAGCCTGTACCTGCTCCTGCCACACGGGCATGTAGTAGACCTGGGCCAACCTGTGAGCCTGGACCTGTGAGGTTTATGTCTGGGAATGTGTTCACACTCCTGCCACCAGGGGCGCCCTGAGGCCTGGGCTGGCCTGCAAGGGCAGGCTCTCCTAGCCCTTCTTCCCTTTCCGGGTGAGTGGGCCTAGGGCGCAGGTGGCTGAAGGAAGAGGAGCCTAACCGTTCTGCAGGGGTGGGGGCTCCAACAGCCTCCTGCACAGGACCCTCTCCTATCACTGACAAGTAGGGGTGATCTTCAGAATAGCCCCTACACAGTTCCGGACCCATAGTCCCCATGCATCCCACCGGCCTGCCCTGCTGTGTAGAGCAGGTGACAACCATGATTGAGAGGATCCTGGGCTGGAGTTCCTCAGGCTTGACAAGCAGTCACAGACCTTCACACCTTCACGTGAAGTCGGCCACACCCACAAAGGGAACAAAAGACCCCAGACAGGTGGTAAGAGCGCCCCCATAAGAAAATGTCTTGGAATTCCAGAGAAAACCCTGAGGCAGGAGGGTGAGGGTTCAAAGGAATAACCCAGACGCAGAACAGAATGAGGCCCCAGGCTCAGGCTGCCTCCACTCAACAGGGCTCTATCAAAACACTCCCTCCAAGTTAGGCTCTGTGGCTAAGGCCTGTAATCCTAGCTACTCAAGAGGCTGAGCTCTGAGGATCGTGGTTAGAAGACAGCCTGAGCAGAAAAATCTGTGAGATTCTCATCTCCACTTAACCACCAAAAGCCAGAGATGGGGCTGTGGCTTAAGTGGTAGAGTGCCAGCCTTGAGCAGAAAAAGTGCTCAAAAAACAGGACTGAAGGAAGGAAGGAAGGAAGGCAGGCAGGCAGGAAATTTCCTGGAAAATCAGGACACAAATGGCCTACAGGGTATGTTTCCCACATGCCCCAGGGTTCTGCCTGGAGGGGGGGGTCTGCCAGCCCCCCAACTCTACCAGGCTTGCCTTGGCAGGGGAATGAATTTCTGAGGAGCACGTATGTGAGCTTCTATTTTTTAACCTACTCAACAAAAACTGCGAACTATTTTTAGCTCAGCAGGCTGGAGGACATCACAATTAGCAACTGAAAATTCCACATCCCGCCAGTCTCCCCTCTGTAGCTGGGATGGCGTGCGCCAGGGAGGGGGGCGGAGGGGAGGTAAGGGGCCTGGCCTTGTTCCCTCACCCTGGTCAGTGGCATAACCAATAGGACAGACTCAATAGGGCTGTGCTGGCACCTCTTGGACCTGGGTTGGTGACACATGAGTTCCACTCAGCCAGGAACAACAACAACAAAATGGACCCCCAATGTCCCTTCGAGGACTAACTGGATGCCAGAAATCACTTGTGCCAGGCTGGGGTGGGATGTGAGGTTTTCCACAGAGTCGAGAGTCCATACTCCTTGCTCATTTGTTTCTTCACGCACTCATTCATTCAGAAGCCTGATCTGCCTTAACAAGGAAACGTCATTGCTCTGCCACTTGAGCTACACCTCCACTTCCAGCTTTTTTTTTTCTGGTTAACTGGAAATTAAGAGTCTCACAGACTTTGATGCCCCAGCTGGCTTCAAACTGTGATCCTTGAGATCTCAACCTCCTGAGTAGCTAGGATTGCAGGCATGAGCTACTCGCGCCATTGAGACATTATTTTGAAGCTTCAAGAAATCATATTCTCCACAGCTGAGCAGAAGGGCTACATGGACCCCCATGGGCCTGCATGGCAAGTTGGGGGGGGGGGGGGCCTGGGCCAGGCTGGACTCCAGGATGGAGGTGGCTGCTGTGCGAAGCAGAGCACCAGCCCACACCTCGCCTGCCGCCTGCTCCACCAAGGCTTGACCGCAGGATGCGGATAATTAAAGCTTTGTTTTAGACACATAATTCATGTGCTTTTCCTCCTGAATTCCTTTCTATTACAAATGCTATTTGAATCCTGCCGCCTCTCCTCATACTCCTAACTACACATTCTGCCAAATTAGACTTTTCTCTTTTTTTCCTCCTTCCTCCTCTTCTCTTTTTCTTGTCCACTCAGCTTCTTCTGATGGCTCCTCAGGGGACAGAATGGCTTTGTCTACCAATAACCAACTCATTATTGAGACTGGAGGCCCAGGGCTGGGGCAGGGGGTGATAGCCGGTGGATTTGCCTCCTACCCAAATGCCCCAGCGTGGGGAAGGGGAAAGCCTCATGTGCTGGCCTCTGCATCAGCCCATGGGATCCCACTGGGGTTAGACAGTCTGCACTGGGGTCTAATGGGTCTACTCCTGAAGCTGAGATCTAAGGATCAACAGTTCAAAGCCCGCCTAGGCAGGAAAGTCTGTGAGACTCTTATCTCCAATTAACCAGCAAAAAGCTAAAAGTGGAACTGTGGCTTAAGTGGTAGAGCACCAGCTTTGAACAACAACAACAACAAAAAACTAAGGAACAGTGCTTAGGTCCTGAGTTCAAGCCCCAAGACTTTCGCATGCACACACACACACACACACACACACACACACACACACACACGAGAGCTAGCAAACCAGTTTATGTCTTTTCATTCTTAGGGATCCCCTCAAGGGCAGAGTGTGGACTCCTATTCCATCTGGTACTGTCCATCTGGGGCCCCCTCCCAGAGCCCAATGTGGAGGCTAGGAACCCCTCCCAGGTAGACCCCTGTGTCCTGTCCTGCAATGCAGGCCAGCCAGGTGTGCCTGCACAAGGAACCATGTCACCAGAGAGGGACTACAAGGTGGCTGGATCCCAGCTGGGGGCCCTGGGAGTCTGGGTCCAAGGGAGGGAGGGAAGGATAGATGGGTGAGTGGCTGAATGGATGGATGGGTGTGTGGGTGGATGGGTGGATAAGTGGGTTTATGGGTAGATGGATGGATGGGGGGATGGAGGGTTGAGTGGATGGCTGTGTGGATGGATGGGTGGTGAGTGGATGGATGGATGAGTGAATGGGTTTGTGGATGGGTGGGTGGGTGGATGGAAGGGTGGTTAGTTGGAAGGATGGTTGGATGGATGGTTGGATCAGTGGGTGGATGGGTGGGTCAGTGAGGTAGTCCCTTCTAAGAACAATCTTCCCTGGCAATTAGTCTTTAGGTGTTGGACATGGGAAAAGAACAGTTATTTTTCCTTGGTGTTTAAAAAGCAAATAAAAGCCAGGAGCCAGTGGCTCATACTTGTAATCTTAGCTACTCAGGAGGCTGAGATCTGAAGACCATGGTTTGAAGCCAGCTCCAAAAAAAAGTTCCCATGAGACTCTTTTATCTCCAATTTAAACATTCAAAAACCAGAATTAGAGCTGTGGCTCAAAGTGGTGGAGCTCCAGCCTTGAGCAAAAAGAGCTTAGGAACAGCACTCAGACCCTGAGTTCAAGCCCCACAACAGACGAAAATAAAATAAAATTCCTAGCTGGACACTCTAGGTGGCTCACACTTGTAATCTCAGGAGGCTGAGATATGAGGATTAGAGTTCAAAACCAGGGTAGGCAGGAAAGTCTGGGAGACTCTTTAATCAGCAAAACGCCAAAACTAGGGATGTAGCTCAAGTGGTAGAATATCAGCTTTGACTGAAGAAAAGCTAAGGGACAGCAGTTGAATTCAAGCTCCAGAACAGACACACAAAAATAAAGAAAATAACTAGACAAATAAATAAGGACACAAAAATGGTGGGGGGAGGGGGGGGGCGAGATTCTGAGCAGAACAGTCAGTACCAAAGTAAATCAGAGGAAGGAATTGCTAAAAGTATATGGTAAATGAATTTAATCAAAGAAAAGAGAGTAGGCCT